ATTTGAGTCTTCTCTCTCTTCTTTTTAATAAGGCTGGCTAATGGTTTATCTACCTTATTAATTCTTTCAAAGAACCATCTCTCCTGGTTTTGTGGATCTGTTCCACAGTTTTTCTGGTCTCTATTTCATTGAGTTCTGCTCGAATCTTTATTAACTCTCTTCTTTTGCTGGGTGTAGGATCTATTTACTGTTTTTTCCTCTAGCTCCTTTAGGTGTAAGTTTAGCTTTGTATTTGAGTTCTTTCCAGTTTTTGGATGGCTGCTTGTATTGCAATGTATTTCCCCCTCAGGACCGCTTTTGCTGTATCCCAAAGATTTTGAATGGTTGTGTCTTCATTCTCATTAGTTTCCATGAATCTTTTTACGTCTTCCTTAATTTCCTGGTTGACCCTTTCATCTCTTAGCAGGATAGTCCTTAACCTCCACGTGCTTGAAATCCTTCTAAACTTCTTGTTGTGATTTAGTTCTAATTTCAGGGCATTATGGTCTGAGAATATGCAGGGGACGATCCCAATCTTTTGGTATCAGTTAAAACCTGATTTGTGACCCAGTATGTGGTCTATTTTGGAGAAAGTTCCATGTGCACTTGAGAAGAATGTGTATTAAGTTGTGTTTGGAGATAAAGTTCTGTAGATATGTGTGAAATCCATCTCGTCCAGTGTATCATTTAAAGCTCTTGTTTCTTTGGTGATGTTGTGCTTAGAAGACCTATCAAGGAGTGTAGAAAGTGGTAGATTGAAGTCACCAAGTTTAAGTGTATTATTATCTAAGTATGTCTTAACTTTGGTTATTAATTTATATATTTGGCAGCTCCCATATTCGGTGCCTATATATTGATGATTGTTGATTCCTCTTGTTGGATAGATCCTTTAAGTATGATATAGTGTCCCTCTTCATCTCTCACTACAGTCTTCGAGATAAATTTTAGTTTATCTGATGTAAGGATGGCTACCCCTGCTTTCTTTTGAGAACCATTTAAATGGTAAATGGTTCTGCAACCTTTAGTTTGGATTGCATCTCATTTAACTGACTTTTAATTTCTGCCTGATTAGATCTAAATTCTGCAGTCATGCAGTCTCTTGAATCCTTTATGCTTTTTTCTAGAGCCACCAGTAGCTTTATAATAGTGCTTCTGAACTGGCTTTCTGACATTGAATTGTAATACAAATTTTGTAACTCTGTGGGAGAGAGGACTGTTTCTGATTCTTTATTTTGAGGTGAGGTTTTCCTTCTGGTCATTTTGCTCAGTGCAGTGTAGCCAAAAACAAGTTGTATTGGGAAAAGGTGAAAAAGAGAGAAGAGAAAGAAGAAAAGAAAAAGAAAAAAAAAAAAAGAAAGAAAAAGAGAAGAAAAAAGAAAAAAAGGGGGGGGAAGCAAACAGAAATCAAAAAACAAAAAACAAGGGGGAGTATCCTCTGATTCTGTATACTGTAAATCCCTTGACTTCCCCTGGAACTTTCCAGTGCTGCTTGGTCAATAATTTGTTTTTCCCCTGTTGGTGTAGCTGGTCTTCTGGGGGAGGGGCCTGCTGTGCTGATTTTCAGGTGTTAGCACTTGGGGGAGCTGCTCAGCCCCCTGCCTGGTGCAGGGCTCAGTGAAAGATGTTTTAGCTGTTTATCGGGTGAGGCCATTGTGAGGCTCAGTGGGGGTTGTTTACCCTGTGAGGCCCCAGGAGGAACAACCACAGTGGGGGTGGCCAGCTCTGGAGCCCTGGAGTCAGCTCCCGCAGTATCTACAGAGCTCTCAGTCTGCCGGGGCCTGGATGCTCCGGGGGCGACGCCGCTGATCTGCTCAATTCGGGGTCGCTGGGTGGCAGGAGTGTCCTTGCTGTCCTGTGCCCTCCTGGCTTCTGCTTGTCCCGGGGGGAGCGCCGGATCCTGGGCTTGTCCCCGGTGCCCTGGGGTCCGGGGCCTGCGCCACTGGATTGGCACTCCCCGGGGCAAGCAGCCCCCTCTGCACGGAGCCTCTGCCCCAACAGGCTCCGAGCTGCTCCCGGGTCCAGCCCTCAGCAGGCTGCAGCCCTTTAGGGAGCTAGGCATCGGGGTGTGGTGCCTTCTCCCAGGGGCACAGGTGCTCTGTTAGTGTCCCTGGGAGCCTGAGGGCATTCCCGCCCTCCTGGGATCCTGCTCCAACTCCCTGCCAGCACCTTTCCATCTGGAAAGATTGTTGAAACACCTGCTTCTCCAGGACGGGGCTTTCCTGTCCTGGGGACACTCAGCCTTAGCCCGGCTCTTCGCGGGGCCCCTCCCTCTTGGATGCCTTTTGTTTATTTCTTTTATCCCCCCCCTCCCCGCCATCTTCCTACCTTGATAGAAGCGTGAACACTTCTCGCTGTAGCATTCCACCTGTTCTCTCTTTAAATCTTAGGCCGAATTCGTAGGTTTTCAGGATGATTTGAAGGTTATCTAGGTACTCTGGAGGGGACAGGTGACTTGGGGACCCCACTCTTCCATCATTTTGCCCCGCCTCTTTACAAACAGGGAGGTTAAGGACCATTCTGCTAAAAGATTAAAGGGTCAACCTGGAAATTAGAGGAGAATTAAAAAGATTTATGGAATCTAATGAGAATAGAGATACAACCGTTCAAAATCTTTGGGATACTGCAAAAACAGTCCTGAGAGGAAAATACATTGCAATACAAGCATCCCTCAAAAAATTGGAGAAAAGCTCAAATAGGCAAGCTAACCTTGCACCCAGAGGAACTGGAGAAAGAACAGCAAATAAAATCTACACCCAGCAGAAGAAGAGAGTTAATAAAGATTTGAGCAGAACTCAATGAAATAGAGACTGGTAGAACTGTGGAACACATCAACAAAACCAGGAGTTGGTTCTATGAAAGAATTAATAAGATAGATAAACCATTAGCGAGCCTTATTAAAAACAAAAGAGAAAAGACTCTAATTAATAAAATCATGAATTAAAAGGGAGAGCTCACAACCAATACCAAGGAAATACAAACAATTTTAAAAACTTTTTATGAGCAGCTATATGCCAATAAATTAGGCAATCTAGAAGAAATGGATGCATTTCTGGAAAACCACAATCTCCAAAACTGGAACAGGAAGAAATAGAAAATGTGAACAGGCCAATAGCCAGGGAGGAAATTGAAGCAGTCATCAAAACCCTCCCAAGACACAAAAGTTCAGGGCCAGATTGCTTCCCAGAGGAATTATATAGAACGTTTAAAGAGGAAACAATACCTATTCTACTAAAGCTGTCTAAAAGAAAGGGTGGAATACTTCCAAACTCGTTCTATGAGGCCAGCATCACCTTAATTCCAAAACCAAAGACCCCACCAAAAAAGAGAATTATAGACCAATATCCCTGATGAACACAGATGCAAAAATTCTCAACAAGATACTAGCCAATAGGATCCAACAATACATTAAGAAGATTATTCACCATGACCCAGGGATTTATCCCCAGGATGCAAGGCTCGTTCAACACTTGCAAAGCAATCAGTGTGATTGTTCATATCAGCAAGAGAAAAAACAAGAACCATATGATCCTCTCAATAGATGCAGAGAAAGCTTTTGACCAAATACAGCATCCATTCCTGATCAAAACTCTTCAGAGTGTAGGGATAGAGGGAACATTCCTCAGCATCTTAAAAGCCATCTACAAAAAGCCCACAGCAAATATTAATTGATATATTTGGCAGCTCCCATATTCGGGGGCATATATATTGATGATTGTTAAGTCCTCTTCTTGGATAGATCCTTTAAGTATGATATAGTGTCCCTCTTCATCTCTCACTACATGAGGGAGAAGCATATTCCTTGCTGACTGGGGAACCTGACTCAGTGCTTAATCCCAGGATCCCAAGATCATGACCTGAGCTAAAGGCAGACACAACTGACTGAGCCACCCAGGTGCCCCATATTTTATGTATGTTAGTCTCTTTTGCTTATAAAAAAATTTTAAAATTTTATTTTTCTAAAGCTGTCTTCTTTCAGTATATATTCTGAATGTTTAAGGAGTATTGACTCTCCTAAAGCAAGCTTCTAGTTTACTTGGTTTCTTTATATACTTATTTTCTTAAATATTTTTATTTTGGAGAGAGACAACATGAACAAGGGGAGTGGGCAGAGGGAGAAAGAATCTCAAGAAGACACTCTCCTACCAGCTGCTCAGGGAGCCCGATGTGGGGCTTGATCTCATGACCCATGAGATCATGTATACTTGACTTAGTTGATTCTATTGACATATGTTGCACATTTGTACTTTACCTGTTTTATGATTTTTGCCTGTCTTTCAAATAAAAGTCTATTCTTTTTGAGGCTTAGCTGATTTCTATCCTGTTTCTTTTTCTTCTCTCAAAATACAATTCATATTTTGGAATTGTGGACTGCTCCCATGTTATTTAACATTATCTTTGTACATTTCATGTTTGGTGTATTAGTAGCAAACTTAGTGAAGGGACTATCGTCTCGTGTACTTTTTGTATTACAAGATCTACGAATCTGATAGCTCTAATTATGGATTACTGTGGATTTTCATAATGTTGATTTCCTTTTTAATAGCATTTTAGTTAACCTTTTGGATTATTTGATTCAGGTGGAAAACTTAACAGGCTTGTTAGAGTCTTCCCATAGTCTTTGTTGACTTAGCAGCAGCAACCAAAGCAGTTTTCTCTTAGCGTCTTAGAGTCCCCTTATGTGCAACGTTAAACGGAGGTTACACGTACTGACCTCAATCCAGTTTTGTCAATTTTGATAAAATTATATAAGCTCTCTGAGACTCAATTTATTTATTTGAAAATAGTGACAATATCTTTTTGGGTTACTGTCAGGATAAAAAGAATTGTAAGGTAGTGGAGTGACATAATAGCTATTTAATCAAATGGTAACTTTTTATCATAAGCATTTGTTCCTTGAGTAATGTCTCCTCTTTATGTTCATTTAGTTTTCACACATACAGCAGTGAGTTACATCAATAAAGAGGTATAACTTTAGTCATTTGTAATACCTTTAAAGTTTTTCCTTTTTATCTTCACAATAGAAGCTGCTTATTCACTGATGAATCGATTGAATGTCATGTTGAAAATATTTGAAAAACAGTCAAATATGTTGGAGAGGTAAGTTTTTAAAATATCTCCTTTTCCTAATTATGAAAATGAGTACACATTTATTTTAGAAAAATTGGAAACATAAAGAAGATATGACCACTATTAAAAAATTTAGTGTTCTAATGTCAATTTTTGTGATATGTGTAATTTTGAAATTTAAAATTATAATCATGCAGAATATAAAATTTATAGTCACAAAGGAAAACAATATGTCAGTTTCTCAAAAAATTAAAAATGCAATTACCATATGATCTAGGAATTTCATATCTGAGTATACCCTGCAAAATTGAAACCAGGGTCTCAAAAGATATTTATACACCCATGTTTACTATAGCATTATTTACAGTAGCAAACGGTGGAAGCAACCCAAGTTTCTCAAAACAGATAACATATAAAGAAAATGTGGGGATCCCTGGGTCACTCAGTGGTTTAGCGCCTGCCTTCAGCCTTGTGCCTGATTCTGGAGTCCTGGGATCGAGTCCCACATCAGGCTCCATGCAGGGAGCCTGCTTCTCCCTCTGCCAGTGTCTCTGCCTCTCTCTCTCTCTCTCTCTCTCTCTCTCTGTGTGTCTCTCATTAATTAATAAATCTTTAAAAAAAAAGAAAAGAAAAAGTGAATATTACTGAGTCTTAAAAAGGAAGGAAATTCTGCCATGTGGTACAACATGAGTGAACCTTGAGGATGTTATGCTAAGTAAAATAAGCCAGTCACAAGAAGACAAAGTTATATGATTTCACTTATGTAAGGTACCTATGATAGTCACTGTGGATTACCCACAATTCTTTCAGGTGGCTAAGGTTATATTAGTTTCAAAACTGGTATGTTGAAAAAGCATGTCTTGTAGAATGAAATCACAAATCAACTTTCATTTGGACACTTTGGGTTCATTTATGTTTGCTAATTGGGGCTTATTTTCCGCCTACTCCTGGATAAAACCTAGTGTAAACTTTTTTTTGATCACTCTCAAATAATAATTAACTTAAATTTAATTCAAAAGCACTGTGCTATTTGGGAAATTAAAATTCCTTGTCAAATGTTATAGTCAGTATTTTAATATTTTAATTTTTATTCTAACGTAGGACTTCTCTCCCTTTCCCCCACACAGTATACCAGCTGGAGCCTTCTGGGGGTTATGACTAACTTTTCTCTTTTACTACCTTCTTTCCAAATAACTAGTTGTAGTTTCTGTTCTCCATGTGTTTGGGAAGGGAGGGAATAAAAGACTTCTATCCAGAATATGTAAACAACTCTTATACCTCAATAATAAAAAGATAAATAGCCCAAATTAAAATTGGGTAAATAATCTAAAGAGATATTTTCTGAAGCAAGATATACCAATGGTCAATAGGCACATGAAAGTTCAACATCATTAGTTATTAGGGAATTTCAAATCACAACTACAGTGTTATATCACTTCACACCCATTAAGATAGCTATGAGAAAACACGATGACAATAACAATTGTTGGCAAGGATGTAGAGGAATTGGGACCCTCATATATTGCTGATAGAAATTAAAGTGGTGTGTGTATTAAAACCAGTTTGTTGGTTCTTCAAAATGTTAAACACAAAGCCAAAATATTACCCAGAAATTCTATTCCTAGGTTTATACCAAGTGATTGAAAACATATACAAGCAAAAACTTGTACATGGAGGATGTTCACTGTAGCATTATTCATAATAGCCTCAAAGTGGAAACGATCTAAATGCCCATAAACTGATGAATAGATAAAATGTGTACATCTCTACAATGGAATCATATTTGGCAATAAAAAGGAATATGATACTGATACATGCTACAACATGGATGAACCTTGAAAACGTTATGCTAAGTGTAAGAAACCAGTTTCAAAAGACCACATATTATATAATTTTATTCAAATGAAATATCCAGAATAGGCCAATCTATAGAGACAGAAGGTAGATGAGTGCCTGCCAGGATGGAGGCAGTGCTGTTCCCAGAGCGTGGAGACTGTTGATAGGTACAGGGTTTCTTTTTGAGGTAATTTAAAATGTTCTAAAACTAAGTCATTATCATAGATGCCTAACTTAGTGAATATATTAAAAGTCACTGAGTTGTATACTTTAAATGAATGAATTGCATGGTATGTTAATTATATCTTAAAGCTTTACAAATTTGGAGTATAAGAACTCATTTATCAAAAAATATATATCATTTACCCATGCCTTAGAACAATGTTCAGCGAACTACAGCCCTTAAATTAAATCTTGCCATACCCATTTAGGTACCTATCATCTCTGCTTTTGCAGTGTTGGGGGTAGTGACAGATCATCTGGCCTGCAAAGTCTAAAATATTTTCTATCTGGCTCTTTATTAGAAAAAGTTTGACAAATCCTGCTATGGAATAAGGAATGGTACTTAAAAGGCATGAAGTATATATGTGTTTACCAATATAAATAAATCTCAGACATTGTATTAAGTGAAAATAAATTTAGGACAACATATACATTGATGTCATTTATATGAAAAAGAAAACAAAACAGTAATCTAAATCACCAACAAAAATGATAGAATCAAATAGGTACATGTAGTATTTAATAATGCATCAAGTTCTGAAAAGACACAACAATCTAATAATATCTTGAGATAGAGAATTGGATTTTTGGAAGGGTAGTCAAAGTGTACTGTAACCTCCTTTGTATTATCTTAAATTTTTTCAAAGAAAATATATGTTATATAAGTAAAAATATGAATGTAAAAGGATAATACATTATAGATATTTTTGGTTTGTTTTTCAGAGCTGTGGGTGATCAAGGTTTGTTAGAGGCTGTAAGTATAGCATTCTCAGTTTGAAATTGCACTTTGTCCTTGATAATATTAGTAGACTCTAGAAATTGTTGTCAGGATCCACAATCTTAAAGACTCAATACTTTGTCAGTTTATTCAAGACATGTCTGTGTATATGTGAGCTGGAAAGTTTAGTCTTTTTTGATTTTACTAGACCTTGTTATTTCTGAGAAACCATTCACTTCTGAAATATTGAACTGTAATACCCCATAGTCTTCTAAATTTCCATTCATTGTTACTTCTAGTTCATTTGCCTCTCTCAGCCCCATTATAGTTCATTATGCAGACTAATACCACTGATTCATTATTTTCAGGAGTTAATTAAGACTTTCTTACTTTAATAATTAAGTGCCCAATAATTTCTTTATGTTGAAATGTATGTTTTTCATTATTATTACTAAAATTATAATATTTGCTTTTAGAAATATAAACAAATGGAAAGTGATTTTCAAGTGTTATTAGAGGAGAAGTCGGTGCTGGAAAATGAACTACAAAAGCTGAAGAATGAGGTTAGTTTAATTTCAGTGTCTGAAAATGGTAGAGTACCTACCTTATTATTGTAGGATAGAAATCAAAGATACATTTAAATGTTTTATAATACATTTTTGATATTAATAGTTAAAACCTGTGCTTTAAAAAAATAAAATTATGCTATTTTCTAAGTTATTATATTAGCTATTAAAACCAAAAAGATGCTATGGAAAAACAGACATAAAATATAAACATTCCAAGAGACATTTTAAGGCCAAATATTTATTAAAATATCAATAAATTAGGGTTTTCAAATATATTTCATTTTTTTAAGTTTAAAAATAATTTCAGTTAGTTAACATACAGTGTAAAATTAGCTTCAGGTGTACAATTTATTGATTCAACCCTTACATACAACACCTAGTGCTCATCACAAGTGCACTCCTAACCCATCTCCCTACCTACCTCCTTACTGGTAACCCACAATTTGTACTCTATAGTTAAGAGTATGTTTCTTGGGTTTAGTTTCTCTTCTTTCCCCCTATGATCATTTGTCTTGTTTCTTAAATTCCACAGATGAGTCAAATCATATGGTATTTGTCTTTCTCTGACTGACTTATTTTGCTTACTGTAAGAGTGTCTAGCTCCATCCATGCCATTGCAAATGGTAGGAATTCATTCTTTTTAATGGCTGAGTAATATTCCAGTGTGTGTGTGTGTGTGTGTGTGTGTGTGTGTGTATGTGCGTGTACACACCACATTCTTATCCATTCATCAGTTGATGTGCATTTCTTCTCTTTCCGTAATTTGGCTATTGGTTGATAATCTCGGTGCATGTATCCCTTTGAATTACCATTTTGTGTTCTTTGGGTACAATTTCTGGATTATAGGGTAGTTCTATTTTTGACTTTCTGAGGATCCTCCATAGTGTTTTACAGAGTGGCTGTACCAGTTTGCATTCTCACCAACAGTGTAATAGGGTTTCCCTTTCTCCACATCCTTGCCAACACCTGTTGTTTCCTGTATTGTTGATTTCAACTGTTCTGACAGGTGTGAGGTGGAGTTTTGATTTCCATTTCCTTGATGATGAGTGATGTTGAACATGTTTTTATGTGTCTGTTGGCTATCTTCTTTGGAAAAATATCTATGTCTTCTCTCCATTTATTAACTGGATTATTCTTTGAGAAATGGGTTTTAGATGTTCTTCTATATTTTGGAAACCAACCTCTCATCAGATATATGTCATCTGCAAATATCTTTTCCCATTCCAAAACTTACTTTTAGTTTTGTTGATTGTTTCCTTCTCTGTGCAAAGGCTTTTTATTTTGATAGAGTCCCAATAATTTATTTTTGCTTTTGTTTCCCTTGCCTCAGAAGAAATACCTAGTAAGAAGTTGGTATAGCCTGTTATTGCTTGTGTTCTCCTCTAGGGTTTTGATGGTTTCATGTCTCTTCATGTCTTTAATCGATTTTGAAATTGCTTTTGTGTATGGTGTAAGAAAGTGGTCCAGTTTCATTCTTTTTCATGTTGTTGTCCAGGTTTCCTAACACCGTTTGTTGAGAAGACTGTCTTTCTTTTTACAGTAGATATTCTTCCCTGCTTTGTTGATGATTAATTGAATGTGTAGTTGTGGGTTCCCTTCCGGGTTTTCTATTCTGTTCCATTGACCTAGTTTTCTATTTTGTGTCAGTACCATACTGTCTTGATCACTACAGCTTTGTAATATAACTTAAAGTCTGGAATTGTGACGTGTCCAGCTTTGCTTTGCTTTTTCAAGGTTGCTTTGTCTATTTGGGGTCTTTTGTGGTTCCATACAAATTTAGAATTGTTCTAAGTCTGTGAAAAATGCTGTTGGTATTTTGATAGGTGTTGCATTAAATATATAGAATGCTTTGGGTAATATAGACGCTTGAACAATGTTCTTGTAATCCATGAGCATGGAATCTTTCCATTTCTTCGTGGCATATTCAATCATATTCAATATCTTTCATAAGTGTTCTATAGTTTTCAGAGTGCAGATCTTTTTTTTTTAAGATTTTATTCATGAGAGGCACAGAGAGAGAGGCAGAGACACCGGCAGAGGGAGAAGCAGGGTCCCTGTGGGGAGCCCAATGTAGGGCCTGATCCCGGAACTCCAAGATCATGTCCCGAGCCAAAGGCAGATGCCCAACCACTGAGCCACCCAGGTGTTCCAAAAATGCAGATCTTTTACCTCTTTGGTTAGGTTTATTCCTAGGTATCTTATGGTTTTTGGTGCAATTGTAAATGGGATCGATTCCTTAACTTCTCTTTCTGCTGCTTCATTACTGGCATATAGAAATGCAACAGATTTCTGTATATTGATCTTGTATCTTACAACTTTACCAATTTGTGTATCAGTTCTAGCAACTTTTTGGTGGAGTCTTTCAGGTTTTCTATATGAGTATCATGTCATCTGCCAATAGTGAAAGTTTTTCTTCCTTGCTGATTTGGATACCTTTTATTTCTTTTTGTTGTCTGATTGCTGTAGCTAGGATTTCCCATATTATGTTAAATAACAGTGGTGAGAGTAGACGTCCTTGTCTTGTTCCTGACTGTAGAAAGAAAGCTCTGATTTTTTTCCCCAATAAGGATGATATTAGCTGTGGGTTTTTCGTGTATGGCCTTTATGATGTTGAGGTTGAGGTGTGTTTCCTCTATCCCTACCTTTTTTTTTTTCTATCCTTACTTTGTTGATGGTTTTTATCATGAACAGATGTTGTACTTTCCAAAATGCTTTTTCCTTATTTATTGAAAGGATCATATGGTTTATCTTTTCTTTTGTTAATGTGGTGTAGCACTTTGACTAATTTGTGAATATTGAACCAATCTTGCAACTCAGGAATAAATCCCACTTGATGGTGTTGAATGGTCTTTTTTAATGTGCTGTTGGATTCAGTTTGTTAGGATTTTATTGAGAATTTTTGCATTCTTGTTCATCTAGGATATTGGCCTGTAGTTTTCTTTGTTACTGGAGTCTTTATTAGGTTTTGGTATCAGGGTAATGCTGGACTCATAGAATGAATTTGGAAGTTTTCCGTCCTTTTCTATTTTTTTGAATAGTTTGGAAAGAATAGGTATTAATTCTTCTTTAAATGTTTAGTAAAATTTGCCTTTGAAGCCATCTGGCCCTGGACTTTTGTTTCTTGGGAGGTTTTTTTTTTTTTTTTTTTTGATTACTGATTCAATTTCTTTGCTGGTCATTGGTTTGCTCAATTTTATATTTATTCTTGTTTCAATTTTGGTAGTTTATGTTTCTAGGAATTTATCGATTTCTTCCAGGTTTGTTGACATACAGTTTTTCATAATATTATCTTATGGTTGTTTGTATTTTTGTGGTGTTGTTTGTTGTTTCTCCTCTCTTGTTGTGATTTTATTTGTTTGGGTCCTTTCTCTTTACTTTTTGATAAGTCTGGCTAGGGGTTATCAATTTTATTAAATTTTTCAAAGAACCAGCTCCTGATTTCAATGATCTGTTCTATTGTTTTTCTGGTTTCTATAGGACTTATTTCACCTCTAATCTTTATTATTTCCCTCCTTTTCCTGGCTTTTGCTGGATGGAATATTTTGGCTGCAGATTTTTCCCTTTCAGCACTTAGGATATATCATGCCACTCCCTTCTTGCCAAGTTTTTTTTTTTTTTTTTTTTTTTAATCTCCTTCTAGCCTATGGGTTTTCCCTTATACATTAGAGACTTCTTTTGTCTTGCTGATTTTTAAAGATTGTTTTTCTTTATCCTTATATTTTACAAAGTAAATTACAATAAGTCTTGGCGTTATTGGCCTGCTTTTGTTGATTTTGATGGGAATTCTTTGTGCCTCATGGATCTGGATCTGTTTCCTTCCCTAGATTAGAGATGTTTTCAGGTATGATTTCCTCAAATAGATTTTCTGCCTCCTTTTCTCTCTCTTCTTCTGAGACTCCCATAATATGAATGTTATTATGTTTGATGGAGTCACTGAATTCCTTAAGTCTGTTCTCATGTTCCACATAATTCTTCTCTTTTGTTTAGCTTCATTATTTTCCATTATTTTTATCTTCTATATCACTTTTAAAAAATATTTTATTTATTTATTTATTTATTTATTTATTTATTTATTTATTTATTTATTTAGAGAAAGAAGGAGAGAGAGCACAAGCAGGGGGAGTGGCAAGGGAGAGGGAGAAGCAGACTCCCTGTCAAGCGGGGAGCCTGATGTGGGACTTGATCCCAGGAACCTGGGATCATGACCGGAGCCAAACACAGATGCTTAACTGACTGAGCCACCCAGAGCTCCTATCTTCTATACCACTTATTTGTTCTTCTGCGTCATTAAATCCAATCTGTTTCCAATCTTGGTTATTTCATTTTTCATTTCTGATTGATTTCTTTTTGACTCTTATCTCTGGTAAGGGCCTCCCTGAAGTCTTCCGTTCTTTTCTCAGGCCAATTAGTATCTTTATGCTTGTTGCTCTAAATTCTCCATCAGGTGTGATATATATATATCTGTTTTGCTTAGATCTCTGGCCATGACCTTATCTTGTTCTTTCATTTGGGATGAATTCCTCCATCTTGGCATTTTCTCTAAGTCTCTGCCTTCTTCTCTGTGTTAGAAAAGCCAGTTATATTTCCTGCTCCTGAGAGATAATGGCTTTATGAGGAAGGGGTCATATAGTGTCCAGGGCCTGGCATTTCAAGGAAGTGTCTCTGGTGTGTGCTGAATGTGTTTTTCTGCTCTATTTTGGCTGCTCTATCCTTCAGGCCAGTCATCTGAAGAGGCTCTCCTCACCTGCAGTCATCAGTGTTTGGTCCTTGACCAGAATGTGGTGACTTTTATTTATTTCTTTTTCGTATTTTTAAATTTGTTTTTATTGAAGTTCAATTTGCCAATATATAGCATAACACCCATTGCTCATCCCATCAAGTGCCCTCAGTGCCTTTCACCCACTTACCCCAACCCCCCTCACCTCCCCTTCTGCCGCCCTTTGTTTCCTAGAGTTAGGAGTCTCTCATGGTTTGTCTCCCTCTCTAATTTCCCC